TACCACAGACAGACAGACAGACAGACAGACAGACAGACAGACAGACAGACAGACAGACAGACAGACAGACAGACAGACAGATTCACACAGTTCACCAGACGTTACTTCAGTGTTTTCTTTGAACAAGGCAAAAAGGACAATTGAGACAATAACAAAATAAGATAACACGGGATATACATGTACATGTAAAAAAGGGTTTAAAAAGTCGTAATTTATTTGTTTTGACTTGAGGCCTATTTAAAGCTCTTCATCTATATAAAAAAAGCATATTTTACAAGATAACAATGTCATGTACCTGTACAAATTTCCTCCTTTAATACAGTTTGTGACCTGAGCTGAAGTTGAAGAACAATACGTATAACTGAGAAAAAAATTGTAGGTAGCGCAGCTACCACGGCTGTCTGTCGACGAATACTCTACTGCGCGCGCGAGGGGGCATCTCTCTCTCTGTGTGTGTGTGTGTGTGTGTGTGTGTGTGTGTGTGTGTGTGTGTGTTTGCGTTTGCGTGTGTGTGTGTGTGTGTGTTTGTTTGTTTGTTTGTTTGTTTGTTTGTTTGTTTGTGTGTGTGTGTTTTCGATAGAGAAACCCAGAAAAAAGTGTCAGCGGTGAAGTGGTTAAAAGCCGGAAGGTCCACAGTTCGATCCGATAATTTAATGAAATCCAGTATTCAATGAGTTGTGTTTTTTGTTTTCTTTTGTTTGTTTTGGTTTATTTTTCTTTCTCTCTTTAATATAACAATATAGGATCTGTCTTACTGCATGGTCACTACAAAGAAGTGGGGACCTAAATCGTGTCGAAGAGAGGCTTTGAACACAATTAAAATGGAAACCAAAAGAATCTCAACTTCGACTTGAACCTTGGCCTTTCCTAGATCGTTTACAAGTACATATACATGTATATATATAATAATATAACTGATTAAGTCACCATTACAGGTTTTCAACCATGAAATGTCATGACAATTCCATACATTCCAAATTATTGGAAAGGGAGAATTGTACACGGTTTCCACCTGGAACTCATAAAGAACTTTGTTGTAATTTTCTGCACTTTTTCAATGATAAAATTGAAAGAATAAGAACTGATTTAGACTCTGATATGTTAGATGTAAATACAAACATAGTTGTTGATGAAAATCTTGCAATTATGAACAAATCAACATTGAGTGAATTTAAAGTGGTATCAGAGAAAGATGTCATTAAGTATATCAAAGAGTCCCCCGCTAAAACATGCGACTTAGACCCAATACCCACTTCATTGTTAGTTACGTGCATCGAGGATCTCGCACCATATGTTACTCGTTTTATTAATATATCACTCACCACTGGAATCGTACCTGATCTTTTCAAACAAGCCATTGTAAAACCTTTACTTAAAAAACAAGATCTTGATGAAAACGACATGAGAAATTTTAGGCCAGTTTCCAATCTTAACTTTTTATCAAAAATCCTGGAGAAAATCGTTTTGTGTCAAGTTCAACAACATCTAAAGGTCAATGACATGGAAAAACCTTTTCAATCTGCTTATAAAAGGCACCACAGTACGGAAACCGTTCTTTTAAAGGTATCATCAGATGTTTTAAATGAAATCGATAATAAAAAAGTCTGTGTTTTGGTTCTGCTTGATTTGTCAGCGGCGTTCGATACCATCGACCACGAAATTTTACTAGAGAGATTGGAAAAGTCATTTTTACTGTCAGGTGCTGTTCTAATGTCGTTTAAATCATATCTAGACAATAGATTTATGTCAGTGAAAATTGGCAAGGATGTGTCAGATAGGTTACCTCTAAAGTACGGAGTTCCTCAGGGTTCGGTTCTTGGTCCTGTCATCTTTACAATGTACACGCAAAGTCTGTCATCAATAATTTCTTTATATGCCCTCAATTACCATCTTTATGCAGACGATACACAGCTGTATGGGTTCACTACAACTGACAATGTACACAATCTCATAGATAGAATCGCCAGATGTATCAATGATATAAGAAAATGGATGTTCAAGAACAAATTAAAATTAAATGAGGATAAGACCGAAATATTATTTCTTCGTAGCAGCGCATGCAATGAAATCGACAATATCAGAATAAACATCAATGGCTACGAAATATCAGCCCAAACTAAAATAAGAAATTTAGGTGTGGTGCTAGATCAAGATATGTCAATGAAATACCATGTATCCAATCTTTGTAAAAATCTATATCTCCAGCTGAAGAAAATAGGGAGCATTAGAAAATATCTATCTATTGGTGTCACCAAAACTTTAATAACATCACTTATATTGTCAAGGATTGATTATTGCAATTCCTTACTGGCTGGTGTACCTGATGAACAGTTACAACAACTACAAAGAGTACAAAATATTGCTGCCAAAATAATTACTAAAAAACTAAAGCAAGATCATGTGACTCCTATTTTAAAAGCATTACACTGGCTCCCAGTGAAAGAGCGTATCATATATAAAATCTGTTTAACTTGCTACAAGTGCTTAAATGATTTATCACCGGACTATCTAAAACAGCTTTTAACACCCTATGTGCCTCCTAGAACGCTCAGATCATCAGGTGACAAAACAACCCTTGTTAAGCCTAAAATAAATTACAAATCATATGGTCAAGCTCTTTTTCATATTTTGCCCCACTTGTTTGGAATAGGCTTCCAAAAACTATCAGAGAAGCAGAAAATCTAGAAATTTTAAAGAAGAAACTAAAATCATTTCTATTTTCATCATATTTCGATTAGACAGAATGCATCCAAGCTGTAGATCGTTGTGAGTTTGTATGTGCGTATGTGCATATGTACGTATGTGTGTATGTATGTGTGTGTGGTGCGTGCGTGAGTGAATATGTGTTTGCATGAGTATGTAACACTATGTACCTTTAGAATTGATTTAATTTGTAAATCCATAATATGTATCATGTTAAGCGCATAGAGCATTGCATAAGTGGATATGCGCTATATAAATGCAATCCATTATTATTTTTATACAGGGACTCAAGTTACTGAGCAGGATCTGGTGTCATAATTTTTTAGTTTTAGTAGAGGTTTTACGGCGCTCGAAACTGCATACGATCATATGAGCGTCAAGGAGTGGGTGTCAACAGAGAAGTCCTTACAGGGAATCAGACTTAGATATCTACTCTGCTCACTTCTCCAGCTTCAACAGCACAACGTCTGCTTTGACTATCAAGGCACCCCGGAAATAGCGGGTCACAAGAGTGTGATAAACATACAAAAGAAGTAGAGGAAAATGACGATAGTAAGGATAAGGGGGGGAAAAAGCAGCAGTTCCCTGTTGCAGTTCAGGCACAGTTATGAGTATGACATTGATGAATCAGCCCATTTACAATTACAATTCTATTGTGCATAAGAACTCGAGATGTTAATTCCCCCCCCCCTCTTTGGGAATAGCCTAAATACACTTTAGTCAGTAGCACCGCTCCGGGGGGGTGGTGTCATAATTGATTTTTTCACCTTGGACCCCCCCCCCCCCACACACACACATACGCAGGCGCACACACGCACACACATACCCACACAAAACCCAACAAAAAACCCCAACCCAAGCCAAAATGATGTGATGCACAAGCCAGTGCGCGACTGCTCGAAATGAAAGATAATAATACATAAAGGTCAAGTAAATCAGTCGTTCAACTCAAATCTGTTTTAAAAAAGAGCTGGGCTATATCAAACGCAGACATATCAAATAAAAATACTTTAAGCAGACAAAAAGACAAAATAACATTTTGCACGGTTCATGTGTGAAAAATGGATTCAGGTTCTTTGGGGAATTATATAGGCGATATTGCCACTTGGCTATGTAAGCCTGCTATCGGAAAGGGACTTTAAATATGGTGATCTCTCCCATCTAAAGCCCCCAGAATGTTGGTTCTGATATTGCACCAATACTACGTTTATCCAAATATTATTGCGCGTTTACTTTGAATGAATGACTGTAGACTTCTGTAAGTGCACACATTGAGGTTTGACAACTTTGTAAGCTATTTCTTCAAAGTTTTTATTTTCTTCATAGAAAACCCATAGATCTACACACATAATATTCGTGGATGGTTGGTGGGTGCTCTAGTGTGGTCTGCTTCTTCTTCCCTGTCAAACATCTATCGTCCTTATCTCCCCTTCTTTTTTTAACACCTCTAATCTTCTGGCGCTCATATGACCTTATGCAGTTGCGAGCGCCGTAAAACCTCTTCTAAAACTAAACTAAAACACACATATTATGTATTTTCAGCAAGGAATGTCAGCTTTTTTTTCCTTAAAAAAAAAAAGGCCTACCGAAGCAAAATATTAAAATGTCTAGTTTTGAAACGTTGATCTACCTCTAACTCATTTAAAAACAAGATGAGCGATGATAATTACTTCCGACCTTCGTCTCATTCTGAGATTATATTTCCTTTAATTTTTTTCTGTCTTTAATAAAAAAAATATTCCCAAGAAGCGGGCCTATTCGAATTACGTGTTGGTCCTGCCTTTGTTATGTTTTCCCTTTCGACCTTCTACTCACGTGTTTTTCCTGGCCAGCGAAAGAGCACTGTGCCGGGTTCCAGGAGGGTGGTGTGACAATAAAGGCAAGTACGGCCACTTCTGGTTCATTTCTTTTCGGGTTTCACAACAAAAACCAATACCAATTTGAAAGCAGAGCTATCTGGTCTGAGGTCAAATCCATGCTCTATAATAGGACCATGAGAGTAAACGACGACACAAGAAATGGAAAAAACAAAACAACCACCCTCACCAACAAAAAAAACCCAAACAAAACAAACAAACTACATCCCTACCCAAACTTATTTAATCTTTAAAAAAGTTAGCAATTTGCGAACACATGATCTCTCCATTTATAAACGCTTTCACATTAAGAGTTCTCATAGTCTTTAAAAAATCATAATAACTGCAACTAACAGGTGCATATAATTATTACTTGGAAAATACCGCTCAACATTACATGGCAGTTGAACTGCCGCAAAATGTTCGTGGGCCCTGTGCAATAACATGCAGAAATCACGGCAACAGTCGGAGTCAAGCGGTTCCACTGAGAGCTATATTGTGCTGGTTCAGAGCATCACACGACCATCTGCGATGTCTTGATAAACGTCGTTGTTCAACGGTTTGAAGCTACTGCTGGACTTGTCCAAGTAAAACAGTGGTTCCTCCACAATGGCGGGATTGAAACCTTCTTTGACCAGTTCTGTCTTTTGTTGTTTGAACGTGCTGGTGAGGCTCATTTGTCTCTGGACACGGATAAATCTTGAAAAAGAAAAGGAAAAAATAACGATGAGAGGTGTGAAGGCCACAATAAATACATGTGAATGGTATTGTGGTATGGTATGATATGGTTTGATATGATATGATATGGTGTCTTGTGGCTTGGCGTGGCGTGGCTTTGCATGGCGTGGCATGGCGTGGGGTGGTATGGGTTTATTTTGTTTTTCAGAATAGTGATGTTTTAGGGTGCACCTTTCCCTTTGAAAGTGCGCCCCTGATAGAGTGATCAGGTAGGCAGAAACATCTGGATATTCCCCTAGCTTTCCAAGTTAAAAAACGCCATGTTGAAAATTTGATCACCCACGTCTCAGCCTAGCACGACACAAAGCACAGACAACAGCGCCCTCTCTTCTGTCTACAAGAAAATGCAACTGTAAATATCCCCCCCTCCCTCAACTTTTAGTGGTTAAGTTCATCAATTTAACGCCAAACTACAAAGTAGGACCCAAATAATTAGATGTTTCAAAACAGAGTGCATGTTTTCAAGAAAGTAACTTTTAAAAAATATATAAAATTCTACGAAGTACGAGAAACATAAAATGGACCACAGTAGGGTTAAAACCTCGAACGTCCGCATGGCAGGACAAGTTCGAAAACAAAATCTGCCTCAGTGGGTGGTTGGCGGGTGCTCTGGTGTGGTGTGCTCCTTCTTTCCTATCAAACATCTGTCGTCCTTATCTCCCCTTCTTCTTTTGTATGTTTGTTACTCTCTTGTAACACCTCTAATCTTCTGGCGCTCATATGACCTTATGCAGTTGCGAGCGCCGCAAAACCTCTACTAAAACTAAAACTAAAAGTGTGCCTTAGTTGGAGGATTTCTTTACTCCTCCTTCCTTTTCTTTCCTCTTCTTGAGACAGATTGGTACTAATGGGTGTCTCTTTGTGCATACGTGCGAGTAGGTCTGAGTGTGTTTGTGCTTGTTTCTGTAGGTACAGGTGTTTTACCAAAAGCCCCCGAGGGTGGAGTTGACTGCTGTCATCCGAATACACTTTTGCACCTGTTATGCAGATCGCAGAAAGACACCAAAGGAAGAAAATGAACAAAATAGCAACAGTATGAGAGAGAGAGAGAGAGAGAGAGAGAGAGAGAGAGAGAGAGAGAGAGAGAGAGAGAGAGAGAGAGAGAGAGAGAGAGAGAGAGAGAGAGAGAAAGAGAGAGAGAAAGAGAGAGAGATGGAGAAACGAAGAGAGAAAGGGGGAGAGAGAAAGAGAGAGAAAGAGAGAGAGAGAGAGAGAGAGAGAGAGAGAGAGAGAGAGAGAGAGAGAGAGAGAGAGAGAGAGAGAGGAGGAGGAGAGGGAGGGAGGGAGGGAGGGATGGAGAGAAAGAGAACGAGAGGTACAGTTAGACCTGAAGTTTACTTCTTATTTCTTTCACATTAAGCCTTTTATTGATTATAATATCTATGTTTACAAGACAAAAAACTCGAACCGATATAAACAGACAAGAACATTAATGAAATATTGACAATATTCTCGTTTTACCTGGGCCTAGCATAGACTGGCAGTTTCTCCTTACACAGCTGTGCTAGCTCCTCTAACTTGTCTTCGTCTAGAGACTCCTCCTCCTTCAAGTTGATCGCCGCCATTCCTGCTTTGCCTTCACAGCCTGTGAGAGGAAGCAGGAAATACAGCTCAGATTTCACTACTCTTTCAGATACATGACCAGTATTATGTATTTTAAAAATCCTAGCCATCTCTTGTGGCAAAACAGTTTGATGAGGCTTTGCAGGCAAACAAAGAGATTTTGACTACTGTGCAGGACGCAGGTCATGGTACAAGTTTCAAACAAAAACAACAACAACAAATAAACCAAGGCAAACCAAAAACAAAACGAAAACAAAAACAACAAAACAAACAAAAAGGACATGAGGAAGAGAAGTTATTTATACGCCTGCAATAGAAAGCATGGTAAAAAGAGTAAAATAAAAGAAATACGCGCAACTGCAAGCATTTAAAAAGTACCTCAAATGTCAGAACTCGCTGCAGATGGCAGGCTTTCCTAAAGTGCTGTGCTTATCTGCCTAAATGTAATAATTTGCTTAGTTGGTTAAACTCTCTCACGGCTTCGCTTGTGACCTTCAAGTGCAAGTTCCTGTTCGGTAGATTTAGAATAAACCACTTATAAGAAACGGTATCTAAATTTTATATCAAAACATGTCGACGAAATGCTCGTGCTCTAGAGGGGCTGGCATCCAGCCGACGAGATGATGGAGTTTTCTTTAGCTTGATACCGGTCAGGTTAATTAATTTTCTGAACCGAAGCTTATCTTGTACTAAAAAGAATGAGCTTTCATTCATTCTTGTTTTTTTTTTTTTAAAGAAAAGAGGGAATTTCTTATACGGTGTCATTAAAGGCGATGCAGATTTTGTGGGCCTGTTTTTTTTTCTACCTGCCAAAGCAGCAGTATAAGATTGTGTGAGCTTTCTTATAACGAAAGATTTTACTTTAAGATGATATTCAGACAAATGTCACGCTGTCTTGAAGATGAAGCTTGTGGAGTTAAGCCACCATTGGTTAATCATCCCACCCCCACCCCCTCCCCCAACCCCCTCCTTTTTCCTTACGGTTTTGGAAAAAAAAACCCCTCTATCTATCTCGCATACATCGATCCTCAAATGCCAGCAAAAAAATTAGCTTCACTATACTCATGTACATGTATTTGGATTGGTTTTAGTTTGCTCTGTATTGAATTGTATGGTGTGAATGTTTATGAATACACCATAGCATTGTCCAGAAGGTGTTGTGGAAATGTTTTTGTCTTCTTTCTTTTTTTTTTCTTTTTAAAAATTTCTAACGACATCCAAAGCTCATAGCCGATATTACAAAATTAAAACTATGTTACATTTATAATCGGTAACCAATTTGCCCAAGGATGATACTCACTTAGTCTAAGAAGTTATTGCTTCGACCACTTTACTGGTTAAATGTTTACACAATGGGTTCAGTTTTCCAAAAGCGTGTTGCTCTTTTTCGACGGGAAGAATGAGTGTTATCTCATACGTGAACAATTTTGTACCCCCCCCCTCCCTCACACACATACACACACAAAAGCACCCCCTCCCAAACCACCACCACAAACAAGAACCATCTATTCCACAGGACCCACTTCAAAAGGCCCAGGAAACGGTAAGGTTCCCCAAAACAAAATTAGGCGCATGAAAGATGTGCTCGTGCGCCACCCCTCCGACTCCCCCCTCTCTCTTCCCGTCTGCCTGCCTGCC